TAAACCTCCTACTTTTTTTTGGGTTCAGGTTCCCGCATTGTTACGCTTTACGTTATTTATTGAAGCGATTCATATTGATGGCTGTCGGAGCAGGGCGTTTGAGTGTGCCACGCCCACCTGGCGAAAATGCAAATTGCAGAATACAAAATGCAAATAAACATAAATGGAGCCAACCGCAGCTGAAATACGTTGAAACAAAGTGATCTAATGGAGAGTACTCGACTAGCAAATACCCTGACCAACAAATTTTACTACAAAGTTGAGCAAGTGCCATTCAATATATATATATATATATATATATATATATATCTATTTACTTTCCACTTTTTGGGCTTGTGCGTGTTACAAAAACATTTGCTAATGGTCTTTTGATGACTAAAATTGTCATGTTGACACAGTGTGTTGCATGTGGCAGCTAAATGATGACCTGTCTCGCACCTATTGCAATTGTTTTGTTTGTCAGTTGAGTTTTTGGCAATATTTCTAGGTGCAACAACAACAATTGTTGCGGGGCAGCAGCTGTTGCCACACCACATTTCTGCTTTGGCTGGCAGCGCAAATATTTAATTGTGCTTAGCTTTTATTTTGTTTTGTTAATTCTATTACACTAACTATTTTCCGCCCTTTACACGTCACACGCACACACGCACACACACACACATACACACATACGCAGCGTGTTTGGACAACCACAGATGCATCACCTGCAGCTGGAGCGACCTCGCGCTCTGCCTGTGGCTTTGCCACACAACAACTAACCCAACTAGCCAGCCCCCTGCACTCGCACACTTATACACTCGGACTTGCTCTTCCCTCTTCCCTAACTCTGACTCACTCCCTCTCACACTCCATTCTTGTTTGTGCTCTCTTTTTGACGCCATCTCGTATGCCGATTCGCTCAGACTTCCTCTGACTGGCAAACGTTGCGCACGAGCTGCAATTTTTAACTGCACATACGTGCATACTACAATCTTGCCACGTCCCCCCCTTCCCCCACTCCTCCTCCCGTCATCACCTTTTTTTTAGCAGCCCACTTTCCAGCACAGCGCCAGCAGCACATAAACATTTTTGTTAGCTGCGCTTTAGCTGCACAGACGGTGCTTCGCTTTTGTGCCGAGGTGCCAGAGTCCGCTTTCGCGTTCGCGTCCTGCTGCATGTCCTGGAATGAGACCCAGACCCGGACCCGGACCCGAGCCCGGACTGCTGCTGCTGCTGCTGCTGCTATTATAGTTTTTGTGATCCGCCGAAGCGCAAATAAACAAAAGGTTCGCTTCGTGCAAAAAGCAAAACAAAATGAAATACAACTACGAGCGACGTCACGAACAATAAAAAAATAAACAAAAACAAAGCATAAATATTCAAAGAACGTGGCCATGCACGACTACATGAGCGATATGCTGCATTTGCAAGTGAGAAATTGAAACTTGACAACTGGAGCAAAGAGAAAGCGCTTAAAATTGATTCAGATGATAATCTGAGCACAGTATATAAAACTTTGCATACCGAGATTCAATTCAAAGACAAATTGAAATTCCTTTAATAATAATAAAAATATACTCCTTTTATAAGTTTTTAAAAAAGTCAGAAGAAAAGATATTCTATTATTATACATAATACATAAAATTGGAAATATTTTCCATTCATAGAGCGAATTGTGTAAATAAATGGAAATGAACTGAAACTCGGAAAAAATTAAAGAACGGTTTCCAAGGCTCTTAACTCTACAAATCTCAAAAAAGAATTACTACTCGAACCGTCAACTGAGCTATAAGACATATAAATATAAATATAGTCTGCCTTATACACATAAATTTCATATTACTACAATAATATAACGCGAGACTGTGAAGTCAACAGCTCAGTCTAACAGCAGAGACTCCCACTCTTACAATAGTATTGGTGAGAGACTGAAAGCGTATACAGAGTTGTTGTGGAGATATGGTTGGAGTGAATTTGCGTGTTGGTGGCAATGTTTCTCAGTTCTCACACCGCGAGAGTGAGACAAAGATGGTTGCCGAACGTAGTCACGGCTCTTGCTGCGTGGGAGTGGGATGGCTATTTTGGCATTTGAACAGGGACGTTGTGGGGGTCAGTTGACATTGCGAAGCGACCAGAAATTGCGAGAAATTCGAAAAAGAGCACGTAGTAGTGAAGCACAGTAGGACGCCAGGAATTAGTATATATACGATGCTGCCTGTTATGATATCGTGGAGTTTAAACTATGTAGCTATATAATTAGCATCGCTTATACAGTAAAAATATTTTGTCTAGGCTATAGTAAAAGAATCTTGACTTAAACCAAACTACACCACACTTCATCTTTGCCAACTCGCGCAGGGTATTACAAAAGGCAACAAAGTGCGGGTAGCGGGCAACATAGCGTCAGTTGCAGCTATAAAAGTGCTTGAACAGTGGATAAGGGGCAACAGCAGGAGCAGGAGCAGGAGTAGGAGCAGCAGCAACCGGAGCAGGAACGGGTCAACACTTGCAGCTGGCAACAAATTTGCTGTCGCAGGCTAAATATATGTGCTATCCAGAGGCAGCTTTAGGCATAGGCAACAAGGCAAGCCAGCCAGCCAGCCAGCCAGCCAGCCAGCCAGCCAGCTGGGGAGCCTAGCAACCAGTCAGGCAGCCAGACAGCACCCATGTGGCATGCAGTCGGCAAAAATGTAGACTAGCAGAGCGACAGAAAAAGAGAGAGAGAGCGTGTGTTAGGGTGAGACAGACAGAGAGAGATTATTAATCAATGGTTGGGACTTTTTGAGAGCAGTCAACTAAAGAGATTTGTTAGGTTTGCCATAAGAGCCATAATCAAGCAGCGCTCGTTGCTCGTTGCGTGGCAAACGCACTTGGTTTGGCTTTGCTACACGTTGCCAATTTAAGTGGCTAAACGCTGCCTGCATTGACTCCAGCTTTAGCTCCGCTTTGGAGCTTACAGTTTGTCATGTGCTGCTGCCGTTGGCTAAATTGAATGTGAAATTAACTGCCAAGGCACTGGCAGAGCTTACACATAGTAGACCTGCTTGGCAATTGCTTTTGCATAATTGAAAACTGCTTAAAGTTTTGCTAATTAAGTTGCATTTCAACGAAAAACGCACAACAAACTAATTTTCACATCAACTTTTGACGTCAAACAGCATGAAGAATTCAATTTAAATGTGGGAGTGGGTGAGTGCGTGTGTGTGTGTGTGTGTGTGTGTGTGGGTGTGGGTAAACGGGTGCTATGAATTTTATCAGCCTGTGCATAGTCTGTGCTTTAGCTCTTTCGCTCTCTCTCCCACTCTCTCTGTCTCCCCACGCATGTGTGTGTGTGTGTGTAATGGCAGCTGTTGTCTGCTTTTGACAGCTGCCTCTGATCGTTTCGGCCATTCTTCGCCCCGCCAGCTGTCAGGCGTGTCAAAACAATTGTCATTCATTCCCAGCTTGTCTGTGGCTCATTCACATCTCCACTTCCCATCGCCATTTCTATTTCCAGTTACCGCTCCAGCTCCAGTTCGCCCACACATACATGCATACATATGTATTGTATATATGGCTTGCAATTATGGCCCAGTGACATGTGTTAACAGCACAGTCAACCAGTTAGCCAGCCAGCCAGCCAGCCAGCCAGTCATTCAACTGGGGACGCATTGCAATGCGCTCTCAACATTTCCGCACAGTTATTTTGCCCATTTCCTGTTGCCCTGGCTTTCAGGCCGATGCCGATGTCGACGCCGGCGCTACACATTTTGCCACGTTGCGTATACGCATTTTACCGCGTCTGAAATCAATATCAATGGCTGTGCGCAAATTCTGTTAGCTTCGTTTAGGGCTTGCTCCCCAGTTGTCGCCTTGATTACTCCTGTCATATTATTTTCACACTTGAAATGCTCCATATCGATCTGTAGCGTTGGTCATTATCAGTGCTGACCATTGTGTGTGGGTGAGCGAGTGTGTGTGAACGAGAGTATGCGTATACGTGTGTGCATGCGTGTGTGTGTGTGTGGCACTTGGCTGTCACTTTACATGCTTCTGTTGGGTTGTGTGGCTTTTCTAATATCCTAGCATCCGCTGTCGCTGTCATTGCACCCTACAAGCCATGAAGCAATTGATGTATTTGTATACCCTGTACTTTTTAATTGAAAGGCTTAAAATGTTCTCAAGAGCTTAGGGGGAAAAATTACCATTCTATCTATATTTAAAATTCCCAAAAAATACTAAAGCTTTCATTTTTTACATATCAGTTTAATTTACAAAAGTTTTCCTGCACTAAATCGATAATTATCGAAATTGTATATATAGTTTTTCAAATGAAATCGATATCCTTTTGGAAAAATTATAGTTGGTTGATTTTGAAAAAAACTTCTACTGACTTTCGTAATATGTTATACATAAAAGTCAACTAAAATTTTTTTTAGAGACTTCTTTTATCATAGAACTAGAATTTGTATATGTTGTTAGACAGGACTATCAACTATATACACTACTGATTTAAAAGATTAGGAAGATTATGTACCGCCCAAATAATCATTATAAATTGCACTTTATCAATTTAAAAACTAGATTTCGTTTATGTTTTTAGTCGGCTTTATCAAGAACTAAACAAAGACTGAATTATTATTTAATACATTCTTGATTAACAGCAACAAAAATTATGATGAATGCTGGGTATATCATAGTTTAGTCTACCCCAGCTACTCACACGCTTGCCTGTTTCAATTCCCAGCCAACTACCGCTGCGAGTCTTCAAGCGTTGCTGTCTGACCACCACATGGCGTGGGTAATTGATGCTATATCGGGTTAGTGTGTGTGTACTGCTATGTGTGTGTATATGTGTGTGTTGATTGTGTGTGAAAAATGTCAGCCAAGTGGTTATCAATTTTCGCCTCGCGCACATGTTGGCCATAATTTGCAAGTGTGCGCGCGTTTTATGAGCCATCGTTTGGCGTCGGCTTGGCTTAAACGAACTCTGACTTGCCATAATAAACATAAATCCAACTAAGGTCCTAGTAAACAACGACTCGACATTTCACACATCATGTTTTACAGACATAAAAAACAAAAACAAAAACACAAACACACAAATACATACACATATTTATATATACATATATAAATGAATACCTAATGAAAATGCAGTTTCCACTTAAAATATTACTTACAATGGCTGGCGCACTCATTGCATTGGTAAGACTGTCTCTTAGACTTCTCCTATCTGCTGTTCTCTCTCTTTCACTCTTTCTTACACACAGAATCTCTGACCGCCCGCAGAATAGTTTGCCCAGCAGCTGGGCCAGATCCGTTACTTTGCCCCTAACGGACGCCGTAAGGGACCCCAAGTCATCCGATGGCTTCACAGCTGTTACGACTGCTTTAGAGGCTGCCTCTTTACCCATGGATCACATTCGGCGACCCAGAGAGTTGATGTCGTGCCAAATCGCTCTAGCCGATGTCAACGTTTTGCATATGCCCTGCGACATGGATCTACCGAATCTGCCCACATATATCGAGACATTGCCCAACCAATGCATTTGCGCCTACAACACGCGCTTCCATTCCGAGCAGGAATATCGCAACTTTAAAATCTTACAGCTCGAGAGTTTCTTCTTTGGCCAATATGCGGAGCGCATCAAACGCTTCGAGCTGGATCCCCATCAATTCGACTACAGAGTCTGATCCGTGCACAAATAAACAATACAAAAACTATTAATCGTGGCTAGGCGCATAAGATCATAATGTGATTTAATGTTGATTTACTGTAGATCAGAAGTAGCTCAAATTGCAAAGTCTTGTTTGCAGTGTATCGAAATTTTATACACATTAAATATAATAATATATGATGTTTTTTTTATTTAAATATGCAAAAGAAACTAAAGCTAAGTATTAAGCTATGGTCTATTTATATACTGTTGATTTTCTCTGAAGTGGCACGACTAAAGCTAATGAGATTTTTTTGCAATATATACTAGGAATGCCTTTTCCTTCCCTTTCTTTGAATATAAATATATAAAGTGGTTCATATAGTTGAATTTTATATCAAAATATAATAAATACAAAATAAACTTTTAGAGCGTAATCATATGGTTAAAATGTGTGTACATTCCAAAGCACAAGCCTCTAGTACTTCAAATGCGTTTTTTACAAATTGGGGGCGAAGGGGGCGTGGTATCCAAAATCTGTAAATTACAAAGTCTTTGTATCCATTAACTCTATATACAACGCAAATTTGAAGTCTCCAGGTTTAAAAGTGTTCAAATTAGGCTGAAAAAACCAAGTCGATTTTTCGATTATTCTCGATAAAAAAGTTATCGGATGAGTTATCGAAAAAATAAAGCAAACTCGTACTGCCTATGGTATACACGAGTATGCATGCCAAATTTCAGCTCTCTAGCTCTTATATCTTCTGAGATCCTTTTGCTCATACGGACGGACGGACGGACGGACAGACGGACAGGGCTATATCGACTCAGCTCGTCGTCCTGATCAAGAATATATATACTTTATGGGGTCTGCGATGATTCCTTCTGCCTGTTACATACATTTCACAAAACCATTATACCCTGATTTCCCATTTTCAATGGGTTCAGGGTATAAAAATATATAGAAAAATTTCAAAAATAAAATGAATAAGAATAAATTATTAAAAATATATAAATGTATATTTTATATTCCTTCAAATTGAATTAACAAAAATTTGTTTAGATTTCAAATGAATTGATAAATTTATTTGGCATTATTATTTTACTTTATTATTAAATAGCAAAAACATTTCAAAAGCTGGAATGATAAGTAGGATGTTGGCTGCGATAAGATCATATGAATTTCATGGAAAATACATAAGGAATTGTTCACTGGAGCTGCTTTAGATTAGTAGCAAAAATACATTTAAATTTAAATTTCTATTTTCCACAGAATCGAAAGCAAAGATGAGTTTTATAATATTCCCATGTATATCAATAAATTGACAATCATTTTTTCAAGCTGTCTTAAAATCAATTTAAATTGTCTGCTGGCATCTTAAATTTTAATCACTTCACAAAAGATTGCATTTGGCTTAGCTTCGAGCTTCGAGCTGCGAGCTTTGGGCTTCGGATTTTGGCACCTCAGCATTGTTGATGGACAATAATCAATCAAATTTTGTATTGGGCCAAATTCCATTTAGCCAAACGGCGCGAGGGTCGACAGACGAGCGTGGCAGTGCAAATAAGGTGTTACGCTTAAGTGATTCGGTGAGCAAGTGCCGACCGATTTTATCTCTGCCAATTCGCATAACATTTGTGTAATTTGTAATTTCGTGGATCATCAATCAGCGCCTCGTCTGTCGGCCAGCTGTCGTAGCATTGATTTATCGATGAGAGCTGCCCAAATATATGTATATACATCAATACATATATATACTTATATATGTGGGTAACTAGACACCAAGCACTTATTCAATCTAATTAGAGGCATTTGCTGCCACGCCCCATTGCAGCGTGCACACGTTTTGCAGTTGAGGCCAGGCGAGCCATGAAAAATGCTGCCTTTATGGCGTCTTCCTGCATCCGGTTTCCGGCCAAAAGCCAAGTCGCTCCCTCCTTCTCTTCCCTCTCTCTCTCTCGCTCTCTCTCCTTATCTCTCTACTATATTTATCTTGCTCTGTGTTTTGGCTTTGTCGCTGGCAGCATAAATTACATCGGGACTAGTCTCTACGCTCTGGTCGCCTGCCAACTTTCGCCTTGTCCGGCGCATATTTAATTGTGCATTACGATTATTTTTACATAACTATAAAACTGATTTATGCAACCCGAGTTCAACATTTTCATTACAGATTTTCTCTACTTCCTTTTTTTTTTATTAAAATTCCTTGCTAAAAAAATGCATACATCAAAATAAGTATTTCAATTTCAGTTTTAGCAAAGCTATATGAAGAGCTTTAAACCCCCCTTGATCAACTACACAAATACCCTAGAAAATGTACGTACTACCTATATTGAGCTTATTTCATTTTTCTTATTTTTCATATATTTTCCAGAAATTTCGCATATTTTTAATAAATATTGTAATCAAATCAAATGCCTTGGCTTCTTCATGGCAAGGCCAATAAAAACAACTTTCGGCGGCATAAAAACAAATAAAAAATTATGCCTATTTTTTATGCGCGAAAAAAAAAAAAAAATAAAAATACTTGTGAAGAACTTTGTTAAATTTTATGAGGTTTCCTCCCATTGGGCATACCCTGAAACTAATTTGGTACAGGGCATAATGATTGTCTCTCTAGGTATTCCTTTTTTTCTGTTCCTTTTTTTTTTTTTTGGCCCCAGACTTGAGGCTGCAGGCAACTTTTCCACATGAACAGAGTGAAAAGTTGAAATTGAGTTTTGTTAATGCAGAAACACACACACACAAGCATATATGTATACGCACACGCACACACACGCACACATGCTGGACGATAACACAAAACAGAAGAAGAAGCAGCAGGAGCAGCAGCAGCAGCAGCTCGTAAACCGAGCAAACGCCAAGACAGACGCCAGGCAACATCTCCCAGTGGCAAAGTTTTTTGGCGCAGTCAACAACAACAAAAAGGAGCTGTGGGCCCTAGCCCAGGGATTTGAGCGGGCTTGAGGCGAGTAAGAGGGGAAAGGGGCAGACTCGAGCGAGCAACAGAAAATGCCGCATGGCTGTTGACGACGCAAAATCCACAGGCGCAAAGCAAAGAGGTGCGACAGACAGGCATATACACGTTGAATAGAGCAGACACTAGAGGGCGAGCGAGAGAGAGAGAGTGTGAGCGAGACAGAGGGTGAGTGTAAGCGAGAGTGAGAGGCATTTAAAATTTTAATGTCTTTGCAATAAAATTATTTACTCAGCTCCGGTTCGTTGACTGCTGGCCAGCAGCTACCTCAACTTGGCAGTCTGCTACGGCAGCTTCTCCTGCTTCTCCTGCTGCTGCTGCTGGCCAAGTTAAAAGCACTATGCACTATGAGCTTCAAAGCCAGAAATGCGGGCCAAAATGTGAGAAGATGCTGCGACTGTTGCTGCTACTCCAGCTACGCTTTAATTAATATTAAATTACAAATTACAAATCAACTGCAGCTGTAGCAAAGACAGAAGAAAGAATGCGAATCACAGCACACACATACACACACCAACACACACAAAGAGAATTTATTTGTGGCAGCAACATTTGTGAATGCTTCATTCATTTCAGTTAGCAAAAAATAATTTTGTATCATTAAAATTTTAAGGGAATTTATGCGCCTTGCCTTGGCTCTATATCTCCCTGTTGCTTGCTCTGCCTCCGCCACGTCCCTTGCCTGCCTTCGCCTCTCGGACACGTCAATTTCTATGCAAAGCTCGTTTGTTTGCCTTTTATTTTAGTTGTGCTTCCTTTCTTTCGTTATTCTTTTTTTTTTTTTTTGTACTTTTATTTTTATTTTCGCTCCCCCTCAATGGAATGTAGGCAGCCTGGTCAGCTACAGCTACAGCTACAGCTACACAGCTCCAACTCCAACTCCAGCTCCAGCTCCCAATGCCAATGCCTGCTCGAGCTTCTCTTTTTGGATTTTATTTATTTATTTCCGGAAACGTGCTCTGGAGGATTTTCTAAGCATACTTGAGCGCCAGCAACAAACTCCCAATGGCGCAGCGCTTAGTTAGCATACACACAAATACACACACACACACACATATATACACATACGCACACGCACACGCACACTGAGCGAGCGAGACAGACAGCTTGAGAGTGAGGAAACGTAGCAACAATCAGCCGCGTCCGCTTTTCATGTAGTTCATTAAGTTTTTCGCGTGCTCATCCATTTGTCTGTTCAATGCGCGTGTTTTTGGCTCGTAAATACCCTGTATATAGGCATGTACGTGGTATATTATCTATTAGGTAAGCTAATTTTATGCCTAGAATTGTTTTGCGATATTTAGTATTCTTAATAATCTTTATGACCTGTTATACCCTGTAAAGCAGTAAATATGACAATACTAAGCCTAAATAGTAATTAAAATAAATAAATAAAATTAAAACAAATGTATATATTTATATGTTTATATTTATATAAAATAATTAAATTTATTTATCAAATAATTAACTAACTTATTTTCTAAATTAGCTTCTTTATACATCCTATACAGTCATTGGAAATTTTATTTAATTCAACCCAAAATATCTTTGAAAAACTTTGCTAGAAATTCAATTCAATTTGCAATCCAACGAATTTCTGTCAATATATCTACAATATATTTGCGTATCTGCACAATCAGCTCTACAAATTCGTTTATTCCTTTTCTAAATGAATATAAAGCTCAGCGCTTAAGTCGTACAAATGGCAGCAGCAACAATTTCCATTTACTTGTCTCCTCCAAGCCAAAGAGTCCCTGTAGACCATGTTTACCACGCCTCCCGCCCCACAGCCTAAGCCCCACGCGCCGAACTTTCACCTCCGCCCACTAGTCGCTCCGCCCACTACTCGCTGTCCGGTTCCCCTCCTCTCCCCTTCCTCCACTGGCTCACCTCTTCGCCACGTTCTTTGCGTGTGTCCCAGGCGTCAATTGCCAGGCTGGTTTTCTATGCTCTTTGGCCCCTGGTCGAAATTCGTGAACATTGACCGAGCCGCTACCGCCGACGCCTAATGAAAAAACAATAAAAATTTTGCGCTTTTCTGCTTTCCCAAGTGGCTGTGAAATTTTGATGACTTTGTCAGCTAACCGGGAAAATGGCCAAAAAAGCAAAATAAATAAAGTGAAAGAAAGAAAAACTTATAGCCCAAATGGACACGCAGCTTTTTAATGCCTCTTATGCTTCTGCTTCTTCTTCTTCTGCTACTTCATCTTCTGCTGCGCCCTCTAAAAAGATGCCTTCGA